GTTCAGAAATGTAAGCAAAGCTAGAGGCTATTGCAGAGGGCAAGTCAGGAGGAGGAGGCGAGACTGTAAGAGAAGAGGAGATAGGAGGCGACGACTGAAGCTGCAGACACACGGACAACAGGAGGCACACTGGCACAGCAGCTACCGGAACAACGCTCCGGACTACTGGAGTAACTGGCCCCGAGGCTAAAAGTAGCGGCAGACGAGCAACGGACCCACGGGCGACTGGCACAGGTGGCTGCGACAAGGCTACCAGAGCAACTCCCCGGACTACAGGTGTTGCTGGCGACACGACGGAAACCTCCGTTCAACTTCCCCCAAACAGTCCCACCCCCCCTAATACACACCCCCTGCTTCACCCCTAGCTCCACTCCCCCTTCACCCCCCTTATTACCACTCCGACGACTCCAACAGGTCCACCCCCCCTCGGCGGCAGCTGCAGCACTGGGAGACGGAGGAGGAGGAGGAGCAGGGGACGGCACATAGAAGCTTCACCCCCATTCCCCTCACCCCCAAAACCTAATTCAGGAGAACGGGCAGCAACAGGGGTGGGGCGCCATCAGAAGCACGTGGGATAGCGGGCAACGCAGGGGAAGTGAAGAACGGGCCGCCGACGGGCCTGACACAGCCGCCCGAACCGCACGCAGGCGGCCCGAGCCGCGCGCGGGCCTAGCGCAGTTCGTACGGGCCGCGCGCAGGCCTGGCGCAGCCCGTACGGGCCGCGCGTCGGCTGTACGGGCCGCGCGCAGGCCACGACGGGCGACGGTGGGCGACGCGCGGGTCCCCGTCGCCCGTCGCAGCGCCTCCCGAGAGCAACGCGCGGCGTGACGGGGCAGAAACCCGCCGCGCGCCTCGGGGCGCCGGCGGGCAGTAGGCCGCCGCGCGCCTCGAGGCGCACGGCGGGAAGAAAACCGCCGCGCGCCCCGGGGCGCACGGCGGGCAGAAAACCGCCGCACGCACCAAGCGCGTGGCGGGATGAAAAATCCGTCGCACGCCACGGGGCGTACGACATAGAGAGTAGCAGTAGCAGCTGAAGCAGTGAGATGGGGCCACAGGCCAGGAGCATAGGGCTCTAATACCATGTGAAGATTAGAGGTAGAAGTAGGCGCCATAGCTAGGAAAGCCCTAGCTAGGCAAGAAACAGTTTAGGCAAAAGAGGAGGTTCACTAGCAAGAATGAGGATACAAATAGCAAACCCTAGAAGGGTTGTACTGGCTATAGAGCACCCCACTACAGGCTAGAGCATAAAATTCTGACAAAACCAGTTCTTACGGCAAGGAAATAGGATTTACTAGGGAACTGTGTGAAGAAATAGAGGAAGAAACAACACCCAAATGTTGAAACAGTGACATGTTGCGCACAAACCTATCCTTGCACAGTTTCAGGCCAGCAAATGCACAAACAAGCGCCACGTGCTGCGTAGTTGTGCGACCGAGGTCAAACCAGTTCCTATGGCTAGGGAATAGGATGTAACAGGGAAATGTGTGAAGAATAGAGGTAAAAACCACACTCAGACTTTGAAACAGTGACATGTTGCGCACAGGCCTATCCCTGCACAGCTTAAGGCCAGCAAATGCACAAACAAGCGCCACGTGCTGCGTGGCTGTGCGAACGAGGTCAAACCAGTTCCTATGGCTAGGGAATAGGATTTAATAGGGAAATGTGTGAAGAAATAGAGGTAAAAACAACACCCAGACGTTGAAACAGTGACATGTTGCGCACAGGCCTATCCCTGCACAGTTTCAGGCCAACAAATGCACAAACAAGCGCCACGTGCTGCGTGGTTGTGCAAACGAGGTCAAACCAGTTCCTATGGCTAGGGAATAGGATGTATTAGAGAAATGTGTGAAGAAATAGAGGTAACAACAACACCCAGATGTTGAATCAGGGACATGTTGCGCACGGGCCTATCCCTGCACAGTTTCAGGCCAACAAATGCACAAACAAGCGCCACGTGCTGCGTGGTTGTGCGCACGAGGTCAAACCAGTTCCTATGGCTAGGGAATAGGATTTACTAGAGAAATTTGTGAAGAAATAGAGGTAAAAACAATACCAGACGTTGAAACAGTGACATGTTGCGCACAGGCCTATCCCTGCACAGTTTCAGGCCAACAAATGCACAAACAAGCGCCACGTGCTGCTCGTTGTGCGAACGAGGTCAAACCAGTTCCTATGGCTAGGGAATAGGATGTACTAGAGAAATGTGTGATGAGGTAACAACAACATCCAGATGTTGAATCAGGGACATGTTGCGCACAGGCCTATCCCTGCACTGTTTCAGGCCAGCAAATGCACAAACAAGCGCCACGTGCTGCTTAGTTGTGCGACCGAGGTCAAACCAGTTCATATGGCTAGGGAATAGGATGTACTAGAGAAATTTGTGAAGAAATAGAGGTAACAATAACACCCAGATGTTGAATCAGGGACATGTTGCGCACAGCCCTATCCGTGCACAGTTTCAGGCCAGCAAATGCACAAACAAGCGCCACGTGCTGCGTAGTTGTGCGAACGAGGTCAAACCAGTTCATATGGCTAGGGAATCGGATGTACTAAGAAAATTTGTGAAGAAATAGAGGCAAGAACCACATCCAGACATTGAAACAGTGACATGTTGCATACAAGCCTATTCCTGCGCAGTTTCACCATGCAACGAACAAACATGCGCCACGTGCTGCGCAATTGTGCGAACGAGGGAAAACCAGTTCCTATGGCTAGGGAATATGATATATGAGGGAACCGTGTGAATAAATAGTGGTATAAAAGGCATCCAGACGTTGGCGAGCTGACATGTTGCGTACAGGCCTATCCTTGCACAGTTTCACCATGGAACGCACAAACATGTGCCACGTGCCGCGTAGTTTTGCGAACGAGGTCAAAACAAATCCTATGACTAGGGAATAGGATGTAGTAGGGAATTGTGTGAAGAAATAGTGGTAAAAAAGGCATCAAGACGTTGGCGAGCTGACGTGTTACGTAAAGGCCTATCCTTGCACAGTTTCACGATGGAACGCACAAACATGCGCCATGTGCCGCGTAGTTGTGCGAACGAATTCAAACAAGTTCCTATGGCTAGGGAATAGGATGTAGTAGGAAATTGTGCGAAGAAATAGTGGTAAAAAAGGCATAAAGACGTTGGCGAGCTGACATGTTTCGCACAGGCCTATCCTTGCACAGATTCACCATGGAACGCACAAACATGCGCCACGTGCTGCGCAGTTGTGCGAACGAGGTCAAACCAGTTCCTATGGCTAGGGAATAGGATATATTATGGAACTGTGTGAATAAATAGTGGTATAAAAGGCATCTAAACGTTGGCGAGCTGTCATGTTGCGTACATGCCTATCCTTCCACAGATTCACCATGGAACGTACATACATGCGCCACGTGCTACGAAGTTGTGCGAATGAGCTCAAACTGTCAGTAGATCTGCATTGTGGATGCCTGATTGATCCTGGAGAGGGTTACAGGCGCGTTCGCCTGGGGGGTTATGGGCGCACTGACCCGCTACTGAAACAAGCCCTTTTATCCCAATGGTCTAGTGGTTGGGATTCCGACATGGTATCAAAGCGGTCTCGGGTTCGATTCCCGGTGTATGCACATGTAGGCCGTTGCCGCTGTGCTTAGTCCTGGGCCTCCCATTGTGGGGGGGTGTCAGTAGATCTGCACTGTGGATGCCCGATTGATCCTGGAGAGGGTTACAGGCGCGTTCACCTGGGGGGTTATGGGCGCACTGACCCGCTACTGAAACAAGTCATTTTATCCCAATGGTCTAGTGGTTGGGATTCTGACACAAACCAGTTCCTATGTAAAGGGAATAGGATGTACTAGGGAAATGTGTGAAGAAGTAGAGGTAAACAAAACAACCAAGCGTTGAAGTAGTGACATGTTGCGCACAAGCCTATCCGTGAACAATTTTCCCAGCTCAATTGTTTGAAACGGCATATCTTCCTACCAAATGCTGCGAATGACACCAAATATTTTCCACCACGCTCACAACATAGTAAATGCTTGAATGATTAAAAGAAACATCGTTTAAAATGACAAACATACGATAATTTGGCACCACGTGTCGGACAGACACATCCTTGCACAATTTTATGCGCTCAATTGTTTGAAACAACTTATCTCCCCCCCCCCCCCCCCCCCCCCCCCCCCTCCATACTCGGCAGTTTCATATTTTCCCGATGATTAGCTCAATCTGAGAACATTTGCAAGCAAGTAGGAGGAAATATATAAATTTAGCATATAAAAAATCGTTTTACAGTAGCGTTTTACATACTAAACCAATTATGGTAACTATAGAGTACACATTTACTTACCATACGGGGATTCATTTCGCCTACTGTTTGCGGAACGGAAAACCGCATACCGAAAACCCTTTCGGGATTTTTGAGATGCCCTCCAGCCCGGCCTTCAGTTCCAACCCAGATCTCTTCCCACCAGTTTCCTTTTAAGGTCAAGAACCTGCTGCTCGTGTTTTGAGAACCACCAGCTGACTACTACTGCTGCTAGTGGTGCAAAGTTCAACGAGTTAGTGCTCTCAGACCGGCCAACCGCCGAGCGTGGGCTCTGCTAGAGGTGGGCTCGGCTTGTACTTCGACTGCGGTGAATTTCGCGGCGCTTGTACGACAGCAGGAAAGTTAGTACTAATTAGTGGACGATGGCCGTCTCGCTTTGAGTGATGCGAGTGCTGCGGCGGGTCGCGGAAAATCATGGGATCCGCGCGAGCTCTTACTAGTACTGGTAACTCCGTTCTGCGCGCCGCGTTCGCGGTCCTCGTCGTCCTCTCGTGCCTCACTCGAGTGTCGCGTTACCATCAACTCACAGCACCGTCTCTGTCAGACGCTCCTTTCGCCTTCCACAATGACGTCGCACTTCGTTATCTCCCCTCTCTAAAAAACCCGACCGACGATCCCCTGCCAACCAAGCCCGCCGCCACTGCTTCCCTTAATCTCACCGCTCCTGTGCTTCGCGCGCCTCTTCCTATTCAACCTCTCAGTATGGTTCGTCGAACCGCTTATAAGCGACCGGCGGCGAGGGGAGACAGCCAACCGGCGAGAGGAGACAGCCAAACGGCGAGAGGAGACAGCCAACCGGCGAGGGGAGACAACCAACCGGCGAGGGGAGACAGCCAACCGGCGAGGGGAGACAGCCAAACGGCGAGAGGAGACAGCCAACCGGCGAGGGGAGACAGCCAAACGGCGAGAGGAGACAGCTCGGCGCATGCCCATCATCTCACGAGCGATTCGTGCGTGACGGCCATGAGTAACTCACCCACGGACGGCCCGGTACTGACTCGGCCGCAGAAGTGGCGTGCCGCAGCCGCATGCAGAAGGGAGCTACTGAACGCGCTGCGGCAGTGGGCGGCAAAGGTGAGGCCGAGAGAGGCCGAGGCGGAGCTGCTGGCGAGCCCCCACTTGCAGCTCACTCGCGAAGGTGACAGCCCTGCCAGCAGCCCCTCCGATAGCCGTGCTACTACCGCCGACAGCCCCACTGCTAGTAGTACTGAAATTAGTACCAACACCGGCGCCAGTGGCGTGACCAGCACCATTGACACAACTAGTAAGAGCGCAGTTGCTGACTCTCTCAGCCCTGGCAATGCTGCTGCAGCTGCTGCTCCTGCACCTGCTGCTCCTTCTGCTCCTACTGCTCCTACTGCTCCTGCTGCTCGTGTTGCTCATGCGTCTCTCGCTGCTCCTACTCCTGCTTCTGCTCCCGCTGCTGCTGGTCCTGCTGCTCCTGTCGCTGCACCTGCTGCTGCTGCTGCTGTTGCTGGTGCTGCTGTGACAGCAGACTCCGCCGTGCTGCTGTGCTCCGCGGCCTGGCGGCGGGCGGCACTGGCGCGAGCGGCAGCGAGTGGGAACGTGCGGAGGTCGTTGAGGCGGAACGCGACGACGCTGGCGCGGATAGAAGCGGGCGTGGATGCTGTGTGCCGCGGGGTGCGCGAGATAGAGGCTAGACTGGTCGGCGAGTGCGGTGGCAAGGGCAACGCGGGTGGCCAGGGTGGGAAGGTGCTGGTAGCTGAAGCAGGAGGCGCAACAGGAGCGGGAGCAGGAGCGGGAGCAGGAGCAGGAGCAGGAGCAGGAGCAGGAGCAGGAGCAGGAGCAGGAGCAGGAGCAGGAGCAGGAGCAGGAGCAGGAGCAGGAGCAGCAGCAGGAGCAGGGGCAGGAGCAGGAGCAGGAGCAGCGTCCAGAGAAGCAGCAGTAGCTAAGTGCAGCACGTGGCCTGAGGCGTGCTGGCCTGTGCCTCACATGCCCTTCTCCGATGTCATGGTGCTCCCCATCCCCTTCCTTATCCCCCCTCCTTCCTCACCCTAATGCCTTCCTCCCTCGTCCATCGCAACACGCAAGCTTTCTCTCCTTGCCCACTCAAACAAGCGACTCTTAGTACTCGCCTGCACCCCTTCACACCCCCCTCCTCAAGTCTTCCTCCCCCGAGCCTGCCCCGTTTCCCCTTTCTCCACGACATCCCCTCCAGTCCATTAGGGCACACAAGCACTAATGACACTTCTAAGCACCCCCCACTCCCCCCCCCCGGCCCCATGCCCTTTATTCCACCCGCAGGCCAGCAGGGCGCGCAAGTTCCTCGTATTCGCCTACTCCGACGAGCAGCTCTCCAACACGCGCTCTCACCTTGCAGAGGCCGCCCGCTTCGCCCAAGCCACCAACCGCACGCTCGTGCTGCCCAAGGTACCACCACTTCCGTGGAAACGCCTGCGGGCTTATGTGACGAAAATTTGAAAGGCAACCGCTCTGGCTCTGGATAACCCCCGCTGTGGCCCGGTGGTCTATGGCACGGACAGCTATACCACTCCATCGCTTCCCAATGTACCACTCCCCTTGGTGCCCAAAGCACCACTCTGCATGTTTCACTACACACTCTCTCCTGTCTCCCGCCTCTTCTGCTTATGTTTCCCCTTCCTCTCTGTGGGCCTCCCCTTCCTTTGCTGTCTTTCAAATCCCCACTTTATCATTCCATTCCCCCCCCAACCCCTCTCCTCCTCTCCCCTCCTCCCCGTCTCCCCCTCTCCCCCTCTCCTTCCTCTCCCCGTCGCAACCATGGCAGCCAGTCGCAGCCGCCTCTCACTCGCACATTCCCTGCCACTCTGCACCTACTTAAACCTGTCTCGTCTCAAAACCCACTGGATCTCCCTTCCTCAGTCCTCTTCCCCTCCTCCCCCACATGCAAATCACCGCAGGCCAGTCGCAGCCGCCTCTCACTCGCACGTTCCCTGCCACTCTGCACCTACTTCAACCTATCTCATCTCAACGCCCACTGGATCTCGCCCGACCTCTTCCTGCTCCTCGCTAGAGCCGCTCTCGACCTCCCCTTTGCTGCTGCTGCACCTGGCGCCACCCCGTCCGTGGCCTTTGTGCATGTGCAGTCCTCCTACCTATGGCGCATGCCCTTCACTCGAAGCAAGTAGTCATTCTCCACAGATGGCGCACGCCCTTCACTCAAAGCAAATAGGCCAGCGCATGCCTCTAGTGCCATGCCATTTCCAAACGTCACATTTGACACTGCAATCTGTAGCCATTTCCGGCCATGCCGTAGCATCCCATCATATGACATCTGGTCTGGACATGCATAAAAAAAGCATTCGTTTCGTTGCATCTTGGTGTGCAGGGCCTCTGGTGGACATGCTGGGTGAGCTGATGGTGTATGGCATGGGGTACGCGCCATCCAGGCACAACAGTGTTGATATCATCATGCCCACCAACAGCACTGCAGTTCTCCAGAAGCTGTACAAGTGGTGCGTCACCTCGTGGGTTCATGACTAGAGATGTGTTCACCTCGTGGGTTCATGACTTGTGATGTGTTCACCTCGTGGGTTCATGACTTGTGATGTGTTCACCTCGTGGGTTCATGACTTGTGATGTGTTCACCTCGTGGGTTCATGACCCATTCGCCTTCCACCTCGTGAGTTCATGAGTTGTGGGTTCATCACCTTGTGATGTGTTCACCTCTTGGAACATATCCATTCCGCCCTTTTCCTCTTTCTGCAACCCAAGGCCTGCCACTGGAACTTAGAGCTTGCCGTTGCAACATGGCTTGTCAAAACAATCGAGTGTCACACATACCGGCAATTGCAATGCAACCATCTTAGGCAGCACACCCATCTTTCAAACGACCTGACCACAATTCTGCCCTTTTCTTCATCCTTTGTGCATCCTTTGTATGGCACCTCCATGCCTGCAGGCGGTACACGGACGTGCTGGTGTGGATGAAGAGCACCTTCGGTGTGGTGGACTTTAACCCTCCCACCAGCGCCATCTCGTTCCAGATGCTTCCATACAGCCGGGCGTGGCACGCCATGGCCCATCGAGCCATGACCCGCCTTCCCCAGCGGTACATTGCGGTACATTATCGCTCCGAGTTCATCGCCTTCCACCTCGTGAGTTCATCGCCTTCCACCTCGTGAGTTCATCGCCATCCACCTCGTGAGTTCATCGCCTTCCACCTCGTGAGTTCATCGCCTTCCACCTCGTGAGTTCATCGCCTCCCACCTCGTGAGTTCATCGCCTTCCACCTCGTGAGTTCATCGCCTTCCACCTCGTGAGTTCATCGCCTCCCACCTCGTGAGTTCATCGCCTTCCACCTCGTGAGTTCATCGCCTTCCACCTCGTGAGTTCATCGCCTTCCACATTCGAGGACACTTGGCTTTTGAGGGGACACAAAATTACTCACAAGTCACTTTGATTCGCATCTCACTGCTGCCGCGATCCCACCTCACCCACACTCTGTAGGCGCACAAGCTAGTGCGAAGAGGCTTCAAGGCGGAGGCAGGCGTGCTGGAGGAGCTGATGACGGGGTGCATGGAAGCGGCGCGCGATCTCATCAACGACATGAAGCGCCGCCACAACATCTCTGCCGTCTTCATCGCCGCCGACGTGCCATTTGACGACAAGGCGGGCAGCGTGGTGCGGTCGGACTCGTGGAAAGAGACCACGTGGAAGTTTCAAGGGCAAGAGAGGGTGCTGCAGGCCCCACAGGAGAAGCTGCGGTGGCTGAGGGAGCAGGTGGCGGGGACTGTGATGGTGGACGAGCTCTTGCCCGCCATCAACCAGTATGACCTCGGTCAGTGCACTCTGCTTGGGTGGGTGGCTTCTTTGATGTGTAACTGCTTCGATGGCTGCTTTGATGGCGATTTGGGCGGCTTCTTGGGTGCTTGGGCGGCTATTAGATGGCTGATTGAGTGGCTGCTTGGGCGCTTGGGAGGCAGCTACGTGGCAAGATCTGCCTGCCAAAGACTTTGTCCCACGCCCCTGCTCCTTCAGCCAACAGAAAGAGTGCAGCCAAAAGAGTGCACTTCCAAAAGAGTGCAGCCAGCTGTTCCTGTGTGCCATGCCAACCCTCACCCTTTTCCTACGCACCTCCTCTTCCTTTCCCGCTATCTCCACTCCGTTCCGTCCATGCAGGCATCGTGGCCATATTGGACAAGCTTCTGTGCGCACATGCCCATGCGTTCCTGGCTGGATCCAACATATGCGGGGGAGGCCATGGCTTTGAGCAGGACATTACTACCCACAGGGTTCACTTCAACAAGACTTACCTCCACAGATGGGTCTCACAGACAGACGAGCTTCTATGGCACTCAAATGCCAGCTCTGCACGTGTAGCGTAAGGGGATCTGAGTACTGTTGGCCTGTAGGCCTTTGTAGGACAGGAAGCATGCACCATATTCCCCCGAATATAACATCCCATGGTGCTCTCTTAGATTCCAAATAAACAATATGGGGGGCGGTCACATATGCTAAGAAAATATAGCGCCTAGATGCATATACCGTATTCTCGCGTACATATGACCCTCCACGGACTGGTTCTGCACGTCCGTGGCTCCTTTTGTGTCGTGTCATGCTTTCAGCCGGTCGTTTGGAACCGCCGTACATTGGATGGGCTCGAGAGAGGGGAGAGAGGACAAGGAATGAATAGTAAGATTTGTTGGGCTGAAACGCCCTAGGATCTTAGTAGAGTTAAAGTCTGATAGCGGAAGCGTTTGAATAAAGTCCTTGAACCACCTTGCGCTAGTATGTGAGGGCAAAGTAAGTTGATTTCAACAAGCAAATACAAAGGTTTATATAAGAGTACAAGGAATACGAATAGATATAATTAAACTGTTTTACTGTTGCGGTTCGATACAGTGCGACTCGGGCAACTGCTCAATTTCGAGTCAGTTGTATGTCCTTGCTGTCGCGCTGTATTTGTCAAGTCAAAGGTCGCTGACCTTTGACCTTCGCGTAACCTCCAGCGGTTACTTTCACCTCCGATAGTTGACTCGTGGTGCTTCGATTTGAGCTGCTTCGCTTGTGTCTTGAGTTTCGACACGACAGAGGTGCTTAAGACTTTTTGTTCCCAACACTCCCCTTCGCTTCTGGAGTGTCGCTGAGGGTGACGTGGCTTTGTCCAGTCAGCAGCATGCAGTACTCGAACTTCTGTTTTCCGAGTTTCTTGGTCAAGTAGTCGGCTGCCATCTCGGACGTGGGACAGTATGATAATTCGAGTTTTCCTTTCTCGATCTCGTCTTTCACGAAGAAATATCGCAGAGCGATATGCTTCGTTCTGTTCGCGAATCCGCTCTTGTTGGCAATGCGAATCGCAGATTGGTTGTCGCAGAACAAAGTGAAGTTGGGTAACTCGGCTAACTTCGCTTCTTCCAGCAGCTCGCGAAGATAGAGTCCTTCCTTGGTGGCTGAGCAGAGGGCGATATATTCTGCTTCAGCTGAAGAGAGAGTGATTAGTTCCTGCTTGCTCGATTGCCAGGAGATAGGTCCGATAGGTTCGAGACGGTAGATGTAGCCAGTGCGGGAGCGCCTGTTGTCTGAATCGCCGGCGTGATCGGCGTGGACGTAGCCGATTAGTTTCGTCGGTGTAGTTTTATTCTTGTAGTATGTCAGGCCGATCGTCGAGGTGCTCACGAAGTAGTGTAGTGCGCGGTCGAGCTCCGTCAGGTGTTATGTTTTGGGTCTCTTGAGGTAGGTGGCGAGTTGACTTGCGGAGTAGGATAGATCTGGGCGGCAGGTGACGGCTGCAAAGAGAAGGCAGCCCAGCTTTCGCTGATAGTCGCGTATTCCGGCGGTTTTGAGTAGAGTGGAACCACCCTTGTCGTTCCCTGCCGTGTAGCGGTATGGCGTGGAGATAGTGGTAGGTGTGGGCGAGAAGCGCTTGGCGATAGTGTCGGCATATTTTTCGGCGCTGAGGTAGATCGCGTTCTCTTCTTCGCGGATGTTGAGTCCGAGATACTGAGTGACGGTAGAGGAGACCGTGAGTGTGAGGTCCTTCTTCAGCTCCCCTTCGAACCAGGTTGTGATGTCGTCAGTGGACCCAATGTAGAGTAGGTCGTCGACGTAGACGATCAGCAGGATGTAGTCGGCGTTTTTGGTGAGTCGATACATTCCTTGGTCGTGAGGCAGTTGGCGGAATCCGATGCGAGTGAGGCGAGTGTGTAGGTGTTGTTGCCACAGCCGCGGAGCTTGTTTGATTCCGTAGAGCGATTTCAGGAGTTGGCAAACCTGATTAGATTTCCCGTGGGTACCGTGTGGAAGCTCGACGAAGATTTCGGCGTCGACGGGTGCGTAGAGGAACGCGTTGGCGACATCGATTTGTCGCAGTTTCTTCTTCTTCATGGCGGCGATCGTGAGAAGAATTCGGAGTGAGGTATGTCGGCTGACCGGGGCGAATGTCTCGGTGAAGTCCCGTCCGTGCTCCTGGTCGAATCCACGCACGACCCAGCGTGCTTTAAATTTCTCAATTGTGCCGTCTGCTTTCGTTTTGATGCGGAAGACCCATTTCCCGGTGAGGATGGTCTTGTTCCTTGCCACGCTTGCGGGAACGACTTTCCAGGTGTTGCGTTCCTCCAGCGCCTTTAGTTCTCTGTCCATGGCTTCACGCCATTTCTCCCTATGTTCCCCCCCCAGAGCCTGCTGAACCGTCGAAGGCTCTTTAGGAAGAGCACTGCCGTGGACTGTGGTGACGAGGCCGAGAATCTGCAGTCCAGTCTGTGAGTAGCGGAGGAGTGTTGGGTCCTCGGGATAAGCTGCTTCGTCTCCCGCTTCTGGGTCGGGTATGAAATTCGGCCCTATCCGTTCTGCTTCGTTTGTGTTGACTCTCGCAGGTGTTACGTAACCGTTGTCGGCGAAGTGGTAGAAGACTTCGGCGTTGACACTGTCGCGAGGATTTTCTTCGTCCATGGGGACGTTGACGGAGCAGAACGGTAGAGGTCCGACTTCTTCCGATGCGTTGTCGACGTTCTACTCTTCCCAGTCTGCTTCGTCCGTTGCTGAGGCGAAGGCTCGGTCACCACGAAAGCCACCTGTGGGGTCCTGATTTTCGTGCAAGTTGGCGAGGTACGTCTGAAGCGTGAGTCGTTCGTAGAAGATCACGTCACGTGCTGCTACTGTTTCCTTGGAGTGGACGTCGAAAATTTTCCACGCGTTGTAATTCTTTTCGATGCCGAGGTGTAGTCCCCACTGTGCACGTTGTGAAAATCTTCCCGCTCGTGCTTCTGGGGGTCGATACTGTACCATGCACCCGAAAACTCGAAACATTTTTGTGCTGCCCTGCTTCCCTGTCCACAGCAGGTGCGGTGATGCGTTGTTCGGAAGTGAGGACGACGACAACAAGTTGTGCAGCATGACAGCATGGTCCATTGCTGCAGGCCACTGGTGGTTGGGTAGCCGCATGCCACGTAGCAGTTTGCGCATGCTGTTCTGTAGGGTCCTGTTCATTCTTTCTGCGACACCTTGTTGCTGATGGGCGTAGGGAAGGGAGAGAAGCTGCTTGATTCCTCGTCCCGCCAAGTACTGCTTGAATCGCTGAGAGGTGTATTCTCCTCCTCGGTCTGACTGGAAGCTTTTCAGCAGTGTTCCCGACTCTCTCTTTGCTACTGGTAGCCAAGCGGCGAACGCTGCGAGTGCCATGTCGCGGCTGGGTAGGTTTAGGTGCCAGACGTATCGAGTGGCGGCGTCGATGAAGGTTATCGTGTAGTTGTAAATAACTTGTCCTGGTTCTCGATTGAAGAGAATATCGGTGTACACCTTCTCAAGTGGTGCGTACGCGGGTGCGCTCGGGTTGTGGTGAGGAGTAAACAGTCGATGTGGTAAGTCGGCTTCGGGGCAGATGAGGCAAGTTCCTCGTGCTCGTTGAAGTTCTCTGCCGTCGGGTAGTAGTAATGAATCCTTGTCTAGGACTCCTGCTCTTATTGTATTATTTAACACGGTGTTGCTTGGATGTCCCGTGCGTGCATGCCAGATGTCTTCGGAGGCGCGATGTCCGGGTGAGCGTCGATAAACGTCGGAGTTGGAGTAGAAGCTGGCGACGAAGTTTGCGCTTCTGTGGACTTCTCGTTGAGTTGGGTTCAGCTGCTGTACGGGTGTTGGTGGTGCTTCGTCGACGAGGACTGGTGTCGTTGGTCCTGCTGCTGCCGATGTTGTCTCTGCTACTACCGACGCTGTCTCTGCTGCTGCCGATGTTGTCTCTGCTGCTACCGATGTTGTCTCTGCTGCTGCCAATGTTGTCTCTGCTACTGCCGATGTTGTCTCTGCTGCTGCCGATGTTGTCTCTGCTGCTGCCGAATGTTGAATTGTTGCTAACGCGCGTGTTTGTTCCGCTTCAGGGATGGTATGCGAATACCAAAAGCCCTCCGGGCTGAAGTCGGGGTCGAGATCCAGGGGATGTGTCCAGTCGGGGAAGTTCACGATGGCGTCGCTGTCTGCAGTGCCCAGGTCTGGGACGAAGTCGAGGACGAAGACGTTGTTCTTCAGGACCGCCTTTCCGATGTAGAGACCGCCCTTCCCGTGGTACAACTTGAACTCCTGGGTGGTACTGCCGGCTTCCAAGTGGATGCCTTTCGCCATCAACTGGCTGACGCTCAGTAAGTTGTAGCCGAGTCCCTCCGCGATTAACACTTTTGACATGTGCAATATAACATTTGTCTCTCGTGACTGAAGTTGTACTACTCCTTGTCGTCGTGTGTGCAGGTTCTGGTTGTTGGCGACTGTGATGACGACCTCTCGTTGAAGTCGATGTTCGCGTTGAACGAAGCGTCCTGAGGAGCACATATGTTGTCCGCAGCAACTGTCCAAGAACCAAGTGTCTTGTCCGGACGGTTCGCTTTGAGCGATGGCAGCGTACGTCGGGTTCGGCTGGAGTGACTCGCGGCGAGGCGTGCTGTTGTCGAGTTGTTCTTCTGGTGAGTAGTATGGTGGTGACTCGGTTGTGCAAGAGTCTGTTATCTTCACCATGCAGTTGACGATGTTTCTTGCTCCTTGTGCAGGTTGTCCTGTTGGAGTCGTTGAAGCTTGGACTGAAGTTGTCGGATTTGCTTGCGTTGAGGTGACTTGGGAGCTTGAAGGCCGAAGTTGTCGCTGTGGTGTTGTCGATTGCTGACGAGACGGGCAGTGCGTACGAGGATGTCCTGAAGTCTTGCAGATGTGGCAGAACGGAGGTACTTGCTTCACTTGTTGCTGCCGGTTGTTGTTGTTGTTGTAGCGTCGCTGAGTGTGAAATGCGAACTCTGGTACTGACGTTTTCTTCTTGTGTCGTTCTTCTTGCAGGTCCATGTTCTGCTGCTCGGCATGGATTTTAGTGCAGAGTGGTGCTTCGGAGATTCTCTCGTGTGCTCGTAGT